CCCTCCCCCTCACCTCTCTTCCCCTCCGCAGTGCTCCGGGGACGCTAGGGCACACTTTGCACTGCCCCACCTTCTCCCCTCCCCATGGGGGGTGGGGCCTTAGCAGAGAGGGCGGGGCAGTAGGTAGGACTGGGGTCCTATCTCCACCAGCCCCAACTGCACCAACAGCTCATGGAAATTGGAATGAGAGAAGGGAACTTTCCGGAGTTTCTGAGGCTTTGTCCTCACTGGCAATTGTGTAACCAAGCTTTTGTTGGGCACAGGTGCTTAACCCCCTTCCCACACACACACCACAAAAGCTTTCCCAAGGCAAGTGTAGTGTAACCAGTGCTTTGTTAGAGGGAGTGCTCTCCCTGATAACAAAGCAAATGCTTTTCATGGGGGGTGGAAGGTTTTTGTCATCAGAAGTGTCACTAAACAGTGTTTACACTGATTGACTTTTAGGGTATGTCTAGACTGCATCCCTTATGCCTTCTGCAAGGAGGTTTACAGGATCTGTCGAAAAAGGCTTTCTGTCTCGACAGATCCCCGTTTAGACTGCCACTTTTTGCCGAGAAAGTGCTGAGTCAGCAAAAATGGTGGCCATGTTTATGCAAATTAGGCACGGGATATTTAAATCCCCGCTTCATTTGCCATGTTGACCTGCCTAATCTGCATCCCTCTGCCGACAGAGGGATGCAGTCTAGACATACCCTTAGTGACATGGCTGTGCTGACACAGCCGTGTTGCTAAAAGTTGTATAGTGTAGACATACCCTCAGATGATTTGTATAAGAACCAACATTTTCTAGCCTCAATGCGCATGCAATATGTGAACCGTTCCCTCCTTCACTAGCAGTCAATCTAAATATTCAGAGTGCATGCAGGTTCCATAAGGATGATATTGTAACCGGAGCAAAGCAACTGCCTCTCCCGCTGCTGCACGGCAGCCTGGGTCCTGTCCCTGCAGCCAGTGGCAAGCTCCATGCTGGACAGCCTACCCGTGCTGGCTTGTTCCGTGAGTAAGCCCGCAGTGTAGCTCACATCTTCCTGCCATCGCCGGCCACTGCTAAAACTAACTGCTGGCTGCCTCTGTGAACAGTTCCAGCCTTCACTAGCAGTCATTCGTTGAGAGAGTAAAGATGAAGATACAAATCTGATAAATTGCCTAAATAGAAAACAATGGGATAGAGGGATCAAGAAAGCCTCCTGGTGTTTTGGAGCAGAGCAGCTAAGAAATACTAAGCTAGTGACAATGTGTTTAAGTGAGTGCTTTTTCCTTCAGATGTTTTGGGAATTTCAGCAGGTATACTTTTTAGTAAAATATCTCTTATTCTTTATTTCATATGTCCTATTTCCACTGATCTACATACAACATTGCTTGGTGTATGATTCATGTCAGCTTCCAGTATTGTGACCAGTCTGCCTGATGGTGATGATGATAGTATCAATTTATACAAAAATATTGCCAGTTTCTTGGTGAATTGGATAACAAAGGGCCATTTGTGAACCAGGACTATGTAACAGAGAGGGGAAGTTATAGCCACAGTCTCATCCTATATAACGATGATAATTAATGGGAAGAGTGCTCTATTTCAAAATAACTGCTGTGCAGACAGTGCCAAAAGTCAAAATAAGCTATTTCGACTTAAGCTGTGCAATTAGCGTAGCTCAAGTTGCATACCTTATTTTGAATTTAGCTTTGCTGCGTAGACGTGCCTTAAAAGAGCTGTGTTTCTAATTATGCATGCATGCACTGAAAATGTATCTGTGTAACTGGTTTAAAGAGCTTAACATAAAATAAAATTAACTCTCTATGAAACAATGAGAAAAGAACAGTGAATTTCAAAATGTCATTAAAAAAGTATCACCAAAGATTAAATTAGATCCAGGAAAACAAAATTACAACTACACTTGCTCCTCATAGAACATCACATCAGTTCATGGCCTCTGTTCTCACCTTCAAGGTGCTTAATGACTTAGGCCTAGAATATATAAAAAGCACCTAGAACTCCATGACTAGGATGACAGTAAATACAAACACGTCAGGCACAATGGGATACCTCCAGTATAAGGTAAAGATTACACAGGATAAATCATGTTTTCCCTATTGGGTTTCTTCAGTTCTTTCAGTTCAGCAGCCCTTTTTCTTTATCCTAAGCAAAATGCTGTAAGCAGACACACACTGATCATTTACAGTGGGTACATTAACTATTGTATTTGTAACATTCCCCATTCTAAATACTTCCAATACCATGATAAATGTATTACTATAATACAATGTATGTTATGGCACCCACTGCACATAGATGTAATAATGTCAAAGTACAAATTAACTTGTGTCTCAGCCACATGCATAGCACAATATTCAATATTTACTGGCACGCATGAGGTAACTTGAGTGGTTCCAAAGCCAAGTACATTGCTGTAGTACGGTATCTTTATAAACAGGGAATGAGGCCATCCATAGCAGGGGATGAGAGAAGAAGATGAACACACTAGAAACAGAGTGTGTTCATCGGTTGAATCTTTGAGCATGGAAACTGGTAGATTCATGTGAGAACTCTCTCTCCATCTGTGAAATGACATCACTTCACAAAATGGATGGATTGCAACAGTTATCTTCTCATCCTAAAATTGTAGGCTTTGAAATCAAAAGAAACACATGACAGGGTGGGGAAGATTGTTGCCTTTTCTAGCTTTAGAAAATGCTTCCCTAGTCTGAGATATCAGATTTGTTAGCAAAGTTAAGTGAAGAACAATAACTAATACAAAGGGAACTTTTAACAGTAAAACATGGTTTCACATGACAACAAGCCACCCTTCTTTTGTATCTATTTATACATTTCATGCCCATCATTGTGGGACCTCAGCAGTACATAATTTTTACAAAGCTGTTTTCCATAGAAAATGTTTTTGTTACCTAAAGAAGAGCTGAGAGGCAAAAGTGCCAGTGAATACTGTAATTAGCTACATGGATGGTGTCTGAGTAAGGGAAAGAAACCATTCAGCTTACCTGTTGTTGTACAGATCTTGCTGGGATTCAAGAACCTGGGGGGAAGCCCTTAAGGCACTTGCTGAATTGCTCGTAGGTGGTTTCTCTTGCTGGCTCTACAGAAACAGAAATGTGCAGGGTAGGATTCTTTTGCCTAATTCTGTTCCCATTAAAGTCAATGGGAGTTTTATTATTGATGGCAACAGAGCTAGGCCAATGCTCAGTGCTTTCAGGAATCACAGCCAAAGCCTTGTAACCACACAATACTTTCCAGTTCATATGCATCCTCCTGCAGATCTTATCACTGGCATAAGAACTCCTGCAGGCATTAGGAGAAAATGGTTAGGAGTTGTTTAAGAATTTCTGAGCTCTGGTTTCAGGTTTTCAAAAATTCTCAGCAGGTGTTGGCTGACTTGAGTTACTTAGGGTGTATAGATCTATAGATAGGTCAGGGTTCAAGGAATCAAAGTCATTAGTTCATCCAGTTTTATAAATCTTCCACTGATGAATCATGAGAGACTGATCTTGAGCCTCTCTTGTGGACAGTGAGTACAGGGATTATACCTCACACGGCTCTCTGAAAGGCAGTGTTTGCAGTCAAGATCCTTAATTTCTCCTCTCCATTGCCAACCACATAGTTAAAATGTTTTGACTTGACATCTCTTTTGCTACCAAAGCTTGCATTTAAGCTAGTTGAGTATCAGTTGGAAAAAGTTGGTTGGAGAGCCAGGAACCGTGCTGGCATTGTGAACTGAGAACAGGTGAACCACAGGGTAGCGTAGAAGATCTGTAGGGCTATAACAGTCATCAGAACCAGGGGAAGGTGGAAATCAGTTGCTGTGTGGGCCTTCGTGGATGTGCTATTGGTGGTGACCGTAATCTTCCAAATCCCATGTAAATCCTAATTCTGGTGAGTAGTAAGAGATAATATGGCCCTAAGTCTCCTCCAATCACTTTACATTCTTTAAAATTCATTGGAATCAAATGGATCATTCAACTGTACTCAGTATGCTAGTGAACAACTTCCTGAGGAAGCCTTTCCCCATCTCAGAACAGGCAGGTTGCCAAATGTCATCAAGATCTTTTAATTCCATTTGAAATTCCTCAGACAGGTGTTTCTGAAGTAAAAGGTTTAAAATCAAGTTAAAAGGAATTGAAAACATGATTAACATGTACTGTTTTTGAGTTAGGGTTTATGTGAAAACGGCTTCTTTGGAAGATGTTTCAAAGGGTGCCAAACTAGAGCACATAGAGTGTATCTACACTGCACCGTAACTCGAAATAAGAGACACAATTTGAGCTACGCAAATTGTGTATCTTATTTCGATGCTATTTCATCATTCGGCACTATCTACACAGTGCTGAATTTTGAAATAAAGTGCTATTCTGAAACATCCCTTACTCCTCGTAGAATGAGCTTTACAGGGACATCAGAATAGTGAGCCTGAAATAACGGGCTTGCTGTTAAGACACAGGATAGCTATTTCGGGCTATCTCAAAATAGCATTGCAGTGTAGACATACCCATTGTGGGGTAAAAGGGCTTGATAGTCCTTTCACTGGCACCAGCTTTACACTACTATAATTGTATTGAGTTCTGATTTACACCAGAGAGAGAGAGATGAACTGACCCAGCGTTTCAGCTGTAATAATCCACTTCCTATCAAATCAATGGTTTCTTTAGGCAACACATACAGATTTAATTTTACACTTGCACAGTGTTGAAGGAGACACTCCGATACCTGCAGATTTGATGCCTCTTCAGACCACCAGACTTCAAAGTCTTTTTGCAACTTCACCTTTGCTTTTTCCATAAGAAACTGCAAGTGTTCAATCTCTATCTTCAGCCCTTTCAAGCGATTGAACATTGTTTTATAACTGCAGTGAGAAAGAAGAAAAGCATTTGTTCAGATCATACAAGGTTTATTTTTGACTCTGGGAAAACATGTCAACAGATCATTAGTGTGGTTTTATGCTACCCAGGGCAGTTACCAACCCTGAACTTCAAAACAACTTCTTAAAGCCAGGGATGAGAAAGTATCTCATATTTTATTAGAGCTTCTTATGATCACAGATACAAAACCTCTACCCTGGCAAATAATTTATTGCTCCTGAATCAGCCACAGCAGCAAATAATAGATAGATAAATACGTTGTCTTGGTAGCACTCACAACCCCTATCTGTTCAGGACCAAAGAGCAAATATCTAATTCTGTTCCCAATGAACAAGCTCCAAACTCTCATTGTTAGTACACTGTACTATTTTTAGACTGCCAGACCAGGCTTACAGGTTTCCCATTGATGTGCTATTATATCTTACAGGAAACCAGCTGACATTTTTGACTGAGAGTGGAAAGTTAGTTGTGAACCAGAAAGATGGCATTTTTGTAATATCAAAGCAAAACTGAGGTTAGCTGTGAGTACTGAAGTCTTATGGGGACACCCTGTGCATATCCAGATGCCATTTTCAATTGATATTTGAAGTACTTGATGAGGTAGAAACACCTTTTTTTCTCCTCTTCAATTTGTGTTCGAAGCTTCTCTTCCTTGGGATCAGATTCATTCAGCTCTTCAGGATTGGCAACTCCTACAAACAGAAGTTATTAGGGGTTAGCTCTGATCATTCAGAGCAGGGATGAAAAAGAGAAAAGCATTTAAATTAGCATAACAACCTGACAAGTGCTAAGTTGTATCATAGGGTCCCACTAATTCTTCCCCACCGGGGATCTGGGTTCCAAACACTACCTTGGGCCTTTTTATGATTTTACTCACACCAACTCCAGTGACTTCAGTGGACTTAATGTGGAGTTATATGAATGAAAAATCAGAACTGGGCCCTTATTGTAAATTACATAGAAAAATTAACTTGTCTTTCTCAGTGTAGTCACTTGTGGACATTTCTCTACATCTTAAAACTAGGGCCACAGAGATTTAAAAAATTAATCATGATTAATCACACAATTAAACAATAAAGGAATACCATTTAAATATTTGAGATGTTTTCTATATTTTCAAATATGTTGAATTCAACTACAACACAGAATACAAGTGTATAGTACTTTCTTTTACCTCCTTATGCTTCTGGCTGCCTGATTTGTATTATTTGCTACCAACAGATAGGGCATATAGGATGTATGTGTGATAGTGAGCGAATTAGACACTTAGGGTATGTCTACACTGCACAGCTATTTCAGGATACCAGAGCTATCCCGAAATAGCTATCCCACATCTACACATGCCTCCTGGTATTTTGAAATATTTTTTTAAATAATGGGCATGCTATTTTGGTATCCTGGTAACTCTTGTTCCATGAGGGTTAAGGGATGTCTCGAAATAGGACGTTATTTCAAAATTTGTCACTATGTAGATGCGCCAAATTTCAAAATAAGCTATTTCGAAATAGATTTGAAATAAGGTACGCAATTTACATAGAGCAAATTGCGTATCTGATTTCGAGTTTAGGGTGCTGTGTAGATGCACCCTAACAAATATTATGGGCCTGCAAATCCTACTAGAAGAAGCAGCAGCACTGCTCTCCCTGCCAAATGGTGCTTTGCCGCTCTCACTGGCTGTCCCTCCCTTCCACTTATGCACAAGAAACTCTGGACCTGATAGTTCTTCATATGACAGACCATTTTACATAGAGGACCACAAATCTCTTCTCTGTCTCAAACAACAAGGCCTAGTTTAAGTGCACAAGCATGAACTATCTGTTCTAGAAAAAGCTCACTGTTCAGAATGTTACTTGAAATTGCTCTAACACAGCTTTTGATTGGCTCCAGCAAATCTTGCAAGATCTGGACAATAGATGCATAGATACAGGGAAATACATTTCTCTAAATATACTCAGGCATGATCTACAATTTAGCCTCGCTTGTTCCTCATGGTAATAGGGATTGCAGCCTGGGCTGGGCCCCCGCAGGGCATCTGGGCCCCAGTAAAGTGTACCCTTCTCCCAAAGTTGGGTGTCTGGGAGGAAGTGCCTGGGACTAGAATAGCAAAAAGGAGCACTGATCTACAAACTGTGGGGAAGATTATCTTTGATATGCACTACATTCAACTACTGAATATAAACAAGGAGAACTGCTTGAAACTTGATGTGCTGCAAGAGGTTAGATGAAGCAAAAAGAAATGTGAGGGGAAATACTGCCATCGGATAGAGTCTAAAATGTATGCAAAGCAACTTAGGATGCTTTTATTTTTTATTTAACTTTGTTAGCCTTGCTGCTGGACAGTATACCTGTGCTTCAGTGGCAGTTTCCCCAACATTTGCTGAAAAGTCAGGAGGTAGACGATACTTTAGGTCTTAGTGGAGTCACAAGTTCCTAGATGGTTTCTACACCACAATGCTAGAGTGTTCTGATGGTGTGATGCTGGCAGACTAGATGCCAGCTCATGTCAAGGCCCTCCGTTCCAGTGAGCATGTTCAGTACACTCTAAGTAGCAAATTCTGAGCACGGAGTGTAGCAGCCACAGTGTCTCTTACTGAGCATGCTCCATTCCAGTGAGCATGCTCAGTACACTCTAAGCAAAAATGTGACACAAAGAGGAGCTAATTCTCCCTCTCACATTTGGGGAACTCTGGGGGGCATTGGGAGATGCATTTGCACCCCTTGCACCCTGCTGCATAGAGGCCTGGTTTGCTCTGTAACTGCTAGTCACCAGAATGAGCGTGAAATGAATGAGCATGAAATACCAGTTTCCAAGAGTAGGGCTACATCTAGACTGCAGGCTCCTTTTGGAAGAAGCTTTTTTCGGAAGAGATCATCCGAAAAAACTTCCTCCGAAAGAGAGCGTCCACACTGCAAAAGTGCATCAAAAAAGCAATCTGCTTTTTCAAAAGAGAGCATCCAGACTGAATGGACACTCTCTCGCATGTGATTGCTATGGATGGAATGGCCACCATAGCACCTGTGCTTTTTCCTCTTTCCTCTTCTTCTGAAAGAACTCCCTCTTCCCGGTCCATACATACCTTTCTGCAAAGAGCTCTTTTGCAAAAAGTCTTCTTTCTCATAGAATGAGGGTTACCAATGCCAGAAAAACCCCTCTGCTCTCTCGATTTGCTTGCGGAAGAATGCAATTGCAGTGTGGACGTTCCTCAAGTTTTGTCAGGAAAATGGTCATTTTTCTGACAAAACCCTGTAGTGTAGACATACCCTAGGTGTCAACTCTTGCCAGAAAAAGGAGGCTCATCAACACCTATGACCTGTTGGGGATCATCAGGGGAAACAGGATTTCATTAATTGCCCTCTGCTCCACATGAAGATGTGAAAGTGAATTAATTCCAACCACTGAATTTGCAACATGAAGCAGAAGGGGGAAAGGAATAAAAAGACCACACAAGGAGGAATTGTATCTCTTTGCTGCTTGGAATCTTGAGAGGAGGAGACAAGATTCCTAGGTATAAACAAGGGAGTTCTCAGTGCTTAGCCTGGTTTAGCCTGAAGGGACACAGAGAGTTGGCTTATTATAGAAACTTCCCTTACTTTTTGTAATTTAAGACTAGAACTCATTTGGGTGTGTGTTTGCTTGCCTTAACGTTCTAAATAATTATTTTCTTTTCTTTCCTATGTAATAAATCTTTAGATAGTTTATTATAGGATTGGCTACAATTGTTGTCTGTGTTGTGAAATCTAAGGTACAATTGACCTGCAGTAAGTGACTGGTTCTTTGGGACTGGGAATGTGAAATCTAAGGTACAATTGTGACTGGTTTTTTGGGACTGGGAGTAACCTGAGTAGCCGAGTTAGACTGTACAGGATAAACTTAAAAAACAATAAATGGTCTGGTAGCACTTTATAGACTAAAAAAACACGTAGATGGTATCATGAGCTTTCATGGGCACAGCCCACTTCTTCAGATGACCAGCTGTGACCTTTGATGTAAGGGACCATCTTTCACAAAGGTAAGCTTACCTGGGTGATAAGACAGATAACTGTCTGGGGCTCAATGTTAAGGCTGTTATAGTACTTCAGGTGTATAGACTAGATAATTAGTTGATGAAATCTGAATATAGGACTCACAACCAATTTGGGGGTTTTGCCCTACTTCTTTACAGTCTTCCCTGAGTTTGGTACTCCTGCTCTTTGCCATTACAGGACAGCTTGACAGTCAAAATGGGCCCTAAAACTAAACTTCCACTGAACTACCATACACATTTATTTTCTTGTTCTGGGAGACAGCCTGCCCCACAAGGGTTAAAATAACTGGGCTCAGTTCTGCAATGAAAGGAAATGTCAAGTTACCTACAAAAAAAGCACAACTATTATAAAAACACTTTCTATTTGTAGGGAGTGTCTGAAGGTTCCCAAGAAAACAAGTTTTGACTTTTTAACTAAAGAGAAATGGAAGGAACAAAAGATTTGCTGTACAATACACTTAGGTTTCCATCTCAATTATTATTTCAGCCAAAAAAATAAATTATATGTGAACCTTTCATTAGGTCTAAGGAGTGTACCCTAGCTTCAAGGAATGGAATTCTGGCTAGAACATGAGGGCAGTAAAGACTTCTCTTTGCCTGCCAGTGCTCAAGCTAAAATCATTAATCTGTTCTTATAACACCCTGTAGCTTAATCAAAAATGAGACTGAAACATATTTAATTTCACTAACGCACGTAAGGTCAAGTGTGTAAATACAGACTAAAAGCCAAGGTGAACAAAAACCACACACAAAACTTCTATTCCATCCAAACAGAGTCTAAAGGCAGGTAGGGCTGAGTGGGGCTTTGCTGGAGTGGGAGCTCTGAGTATATTCACAAATGAAACCCTGTTGGGTTCTAAAGCAAACAACAAACAAATCAAAAGAAATGTTGGACTCATGGAAGAACATGCATCAAAATTCAGTAGTGCTATATGAAAACACTGCAATAAAAAAAAATAATGGCAAAACTTTAGTGATTTTGGGTGAAGTCCTGGCCCTATTGAAGTAAACAGTAAAACACTTATTGGTTTTAGTGGGATCAGGCTTGTACTCCTAGGCTATGCCTAGACTGCACCGCTTTTCTGAGATGCCAGAGGTATTCCAGAAGAGCAACACCACATCCAAGGAATGTGTCCACTTTTTCAAAAACATTTTCAAAAAAGCGAATGTGCTCTTTCGCCATCCCTGTAAACTTCTTTCTACAAGGAATAAGGGATGTGTCGAAAGAGCATTTTTCCTGAAATTTGGTGCCGCGTAAATGCACCAAATTTTGGAAAAGCCTCCTTCAAAAGTAAATTGGAAAAAGACATGCAATTTGCATTTTGCAAATTGCGTATCTTTTTCTGATTTACCTCTGCAGTCTAGACGTAGCCCCGATCTCCTCCCTCACCTCTTCATACTTCCAATGTGAGTCACCGTAGGTAGAACAAATCTAGTGGGTCAGAGTGGAGTATACACTAGAGACAATGAAGTCAAAGACTCCTGGTGCTCTTGAGAAGCAATAGTGTGTGTTCCCTGTGCATCACCCTTAGGAATTTGTAACGAGTCAATTCCATTTTCAGTCAGATCTACTGGTCATGGAGCAGTGAGGCAGGACCATGACCCTGGAAACCTGCATCCTCATGTATGCCCATTTGTATGAATACTGCCCAGGGAGAGCAAATGGG